GGCTCCATAAGAAGGTTAAGTTTGAAGATGGGCAAAATCGGCCCACTGTCACGCCCACAAAATGGCGGAAACCGAAAACCTATAAACTGTCATAACTAAGCCATAAATAAAGATATTAAAATGAAATTTGGCACAAAGGATCGCTGGGGCATATTTGGACGTAATTTTTTTGGAAAAGTGGGCGTGGCCCCAGCCCCTATTAACTTTTTTGTACATATCTCGAAAACTACTATAGCTATGTCAACCAACCTCTATAGAGTCGTTTCCTTCAGGCATTTCCATATACAGTTCAAAAATGGAAGAAATCGGATAATAACCACGCCCACCTCCCATGCAAAGGTTAAGTTGAAAATCACTAAAAGTGCGTTGATCGACTAACAAAAAACATCAGAAACACTAAATTTTTCGGAAGAAATGGCAGAAGGAAGGTGCACCTAGGCTTTTTTTAAAAATTGGAAATGGGTGTGGCGTCACGCACTTATGGACCAAAAATCATATCTCAGGAACTATTGCACCAATTTCAATGAAATTCGGTATATAATATTTTCTTAACACCCTGATGACATCTACAAAATGTGGGCAAAATCGGTTCTCAACCACGCCTTCTTCCAATATAACGCTATTTTGAATTCCATCTGATGCCTTCTCTGTATAATATATACATTAGGAATCAATGATTATAGCGGAATAAACTTTACACAAATACGGTATTTGAGCTGAGGTATGCCTTGTGGAAAAATTGTCGTGATCGGACTATAACTTTTCAATACAATTAAAATAAATGAAAATACAATTCAATACTCAAAGTACACAAATAGATCTAATCTAATTAATTTTACAGCCAAATAAAAAAATATGTAAATAACGGATAATGAAATCTCGATTATCACTTTATCATGCGAGAGTATAAAATGTTCGGTGACACTCGAACTTAGCCCTTCCTTACTTTCTTGAGATACAATTCATACAGACTTGTTCAAAGGATTTTTTTCGATTACAACGATTGGAAAAAAAAAATGTTGAGAAATTTTTATTGAAATTTTAATTTTCCAATTTTCAGTTTTTTTCCTTCGTCCGAGTTCGAAGTTAAGGTTAAGTTATTTTTCACTTTCGAATCCTGTAAGGAGTTATGCTGCCAACGCGGGCTCTTCTATTTTCCGAGTAGTTACCGGAGTCGATTTAAAATATTTTTTTTTCCAAAAATTTTACAATTTTTTTGTTAATAGTGTATTTTTTTAACAAACAAAAGCTAAAAAAATATTTCATTTTTTATATGAGACAAAAATTGTTAAAAAAGGCTTTTTCAGTCTTCGAAAAACTTTTTATAAGCACTTTTTGGGATGGTCTTCAGCTTCTTCAGCGAAAAATGTTTTATGCGTTCAATCGACTGAAAACGGAGAGAAAATTTCGCGAAGTCAAACCTGAAGTCATACGGTTGCTGATCGTTGGAATTCAATGCGTTTTTATACCCTGAACAGAGTATATTAAGTTTGTCACGAAGTTTGTAACACCCAGAAGGAAATATATAAAATACAAAGAATATATATATAAATGATCTGTATATCGAGCTGAGTCGATTTAGCCATGTCTGTCTGTCTGTCTGTCCATCTGTCTGTCTGTCCATCTGTCTGTCTGTCTGTATATAAGTTAACACAACATTTTATGAACTTCTACATAAATTCCATTCCCACATTATATGCTAGAAACATACAAAC